ACCCCGGCCGATGCGAGAACGTGGCCAGGTGCCGGCCTGTGCGTGCGTCCGTGCAGTGGGTCACCCGCTGACTCGCAGGAGTGAACTGGTGAACCCCCGCATCCTGTAGGTCCGCACCACTCACCAAGTTTGTCGAGAACGAGGGAAGGTACAGACCAGACAGGGTGCCCGAGGGGGCAGCCGGACACGGGAGGATAGTGGAAAAGTGAGAGAGGACAGGACCCCCAGAGGGGTCAGCCAGGGAGACCGCAACCGGCCGGCCAAGCGGCGTGAGGGTGGTGCGGTCTCGAAAGAAGGAGCGAGAAGCCCCGGAGTCAAATGTGAAAGTGAGGGAGGACGAAGGCGACGCAGTACCTGAGAGCGCAGTCTCACCAGTACCTGAGAGCGCAGACGCACTGGCACCTAGAGCAGCAGCCTCACAAGCACCTAGCGCAGTAGTACCAATGCCCGGGTCGGGCGGGAAACACCGGTAACAGTCACCCTCCTCACTAATAGTCACAGCATACATAGTAGGAAGGATAGCATCAAAGTCAAGATCAAAGACCACTACACCAGCCCTAAGAAGCTCATCCCAGCGGGGGATCTCACTAGCCTCGGGGAACTGCTGACGCCAAGCGTCCGTCAGGCGGCCAAAGCAGCGCTGGGTGGGGTGGGCACCCCCACACTGCTCACCCGCGCGGTCGCCGGAACGAAGGACGTAGGCACATGGACCAGCACCCCCACCCCTCTGACGCCGAGCGTACCACTCACGGAGCTGCTGGGGCGGAGGGATGTCCCGCGAACGCTGCTGCTGCTGCTGCTGCTGCTGCGGGCGCTGACCACCACCACCGCCGCTCCGCTGCTGGGTACCACCCCGACCAGCTCCATCCCCTCCGCCACCACCGCCTCCTCCTCCGCCTCCTCCACCGCCTCCACCGCCACCGCTGCCGCCACCACCACCGCTGCCGCCACCTCCGCCGCCTCCGCCGCCGCTGCCACCACTACCACCACCACCCCCTCCACCACTCCTACCGCCACCCCCACTCCCTCCGCCGCCTCCACCGCCACCTCCACCGCCCCCTCCAGCTCCACCCACGCCCTTGCCCCCCTTGCCCTTGCCAGAGCGGCGTCGCCCACTAGGGGCAGACGCCGCGCCGACCGACTCAAGACCAAGCAGGTCGGCAGCAACAGCAGAGGCAACAGAGGGCAGTAGGGGGGAAGGAGAGCACCCCTCAAAGATGGGGGTGCGAGGGTCACCCCGAGAAGCTCCTACAGCGACGATGCTCTTCTCCGCCGCGAGGAGGGCCTTCTCGAGGAGGTCGACAGTGAGGGTGGTGGGACAGACTGCGAGAAAGTGGTCCCTGACTACGCGAAGAGAGTCAGGGAGGCGCGCGACTACATAGTAGAGAGTGATGTACATGGGGGGGGGGTTCTTGGCGCAGAACTCAGCAGGAAGGGCGGCGCGGTAGCGAGTGTCACTAGTGCGGAGGTGCGTAATGAGGTCAGCGACAGTGGGAAAGGCAGAGAGGTCAGGAAAGAGGTAGGGAAGAATGAGACGGCTCAGTGCAGCAGTGGCAGGGGAAGAGTAGCGCGCAACTACAGCGTCGTACAAGGTCTGAGCACTCTTGTACTGACTAAAGTGCGCGCGCTCAGAGGTAGGGAGGTGGCAACGCACAGCAAGACGTGCAGCAGCATCGCGGGTAGCCCACTGAGAGCGCACAGTGGGATCAGCATCAGCAGCAGGGGTAGGAGAGGCGCCAAAAGTGAGGTCAAAGAGAGAAAGGCCGTCTGCTCTATCGCACTGCAAGAACAGCTGCAAGTCGTCGACCCAGACCTCAAAGTCAATGGCGCGACCCTCAGCGTCAAAAGCGAGGACACTAGGGGTAGCCATGACAGCAGTAGACGGTCTCACCAGACAGGACGGGTCGGGCAGCGCAGTAGCACAGCAGCACAGCAACACAGCAGCTCAACCGGCTCAGCAGCAACAGCAGCCTCGCAGGACCAGCGGCTCGGCTCCTCGGGCGGTGCAGGCGGCTCGGGCGGCTCGGGCGGCTCGGGCAGCACGGGCGGCTCGGGCGACTCGGGCAGTCAGCGGCACAGGCGGCTCGGGCGGCTCGGCTCCTCAGCTGCGGAGACGGCTCAGGCGGCTCAGGTCGCACGGCGGCTAGCGGGCGGCGTGGGGGCCGGGACAGCGTCGTGCAGCAGGGACGGGAGAGCGCGGCCGGGACGGGCGGCACAGGGCGGCTCGGGACCGGGTCGGGCGGCGCGCGGGCTGTGAGGGGTCGGGACGGGCGCGCGTGGGTGGCTAGGGGCCGGGACGGGCGCTCGAGGGCGGCGAAGGGCCGGGACGGGCTCGCGTGGGCGGCTAGGGGCCGGGACGGGCGCGCGTGGGTGGCTAGGGGCCGGGACGGGCGCTCGAGGGCGGCTAAGGGCCGGGACGGGCTCGAGTGGGCGGCTAGGGGCCGGGACGGGCGGCGCGCAGGTGGCGAGGGGCCGTGACGAGCGGCGCGCGGGCGGCTGTGGGCCTGAACGGGCGGCGCGTGCGCGTCTAGGAGCCCTGACGGGCGGCGCGCGGGCGGCTAGGGGCCTGAACGGGCGGCGCGCTGGCGGCTAGGGGCCTGAACGGGCGGGCGCGCTGGTGGCTAGGGGCCTGAACGGGCGGCGCGCTGGCGGCTAGGGGCCTAAACGGGCGGGCGCGCTGGCGGCTAGGGGCCTGAACGGGCCGCACGCGAGCGGCTAGGAGCCCTGACGGGCGGCGCGTGGGCGGCTAAGGGCCGGGACGGGCGGCGCGCGGGCGGCTAGGTGCCTGAACGGGCGGGCGCGGGCGGCTAGGTGCCGAGACGGGCGGTGCGCGGGCGGCAAAGGGCGGCTCGCGCGGGCGTCTAGGGGGCCGCAGGGCAGGCCAAAAAGGAGAGAGCAAGGGCCCGGAGCGCGCTCCGGGCAGAAAAAAAAGTTTTGAAGGTGGTGGGCCCTAAGCACAGTTCCCACGGGGGAACCTGCTCGATACCATGTTGAGAATAGAACAAGAATGAATGAACTATGAATGAAGTGAGTACAAATAGGAAACCCTAACTGGGTTGTACCCCTTATGGGATACCCCACTATAGCCTACACAATAGTATAAGCTATATATGTGTTCTGACAATCCGTTCCGATATCCGTCATTTTGCGGATATCCGTTCGGATATCCGTCGTTTTGCGGAAATCCGTTCGGATATCCGCCTTATTTACGAATTCCCGTTCGGATATCCGTCTTATTTGCGGATATCCGTTCGAATATCCGTCGTTTTGCGGATATCCGTTCGGATATCCATCGTTTTGCGGATATCCGTTCGGATATCCGTCGTTTTGCGGATATCCGTTCGAATATCCGTCTTATTTGCGGATATCCGTTCGGATATCCGTCGATGCTTCTTGAGACGGTTCTCGCTAGGCGAACTATTGGCGGCTACGATTAGTCATCCGTCCGGCGTTTACATTTCGGCTGATAGAGCATTTTGCGAGCGACGAAACTTACCGCTGCTGGTCAAACTTCTTCTCGCTGGCGATGTTGGCCGACGATACTTACTGCTGCTGGTCAAACTTCTTCTCGATTTGCGTCAATTAGCTCGCCAACGACGTTAGTCGATGCTCGCGGCCATCCTTCTTGCTGGCGATGGTTCGTCTCTCGTGCGACGTTTCCTTTCCGTCCATCTAGCTTCTCGTTGGCGACGATATTCAACGCTGGTCAATTCGTCTCGCCGACGACGATTTTCATCGCTGGCGACGGTTCGACTGCATCGCGAAAAAGGGCTTGCCATACAGCTGCGGGAATGTTGCAAAAATGATACTTTTTGGATACCTTGGTTTTGCAACTTTCCAGTTATGGTCAAATGTTGCAGAAATGCGGATTGGGAAATTCTTGCAAAAAAGTTGCCCTTCCGCAACTTTTCCGCAACTCTCTTGCAACAATCCTGCAAACCTGCAGCCACCATTCCGTAACATTCCGCCCAACTTCAAGTCACTAACAGCCTGCCGTGCAATTGCGTGCATGTTGCCGAAAGATCACCTCCATGTTGCCACCGATCAGTTACAACACGGCGCCACCGTGGCAACGAGAACCGTACTCGGATCTGATCCCGTACGGTGTAGGCCATGAAACGTACACCAACCAGGCTCCAGCACGTGTGTGCTATCTACTGGCACACGGCATGGTAACCCCGCTTCGTCCACCACTTTACTGCATACGCGGACACCTTCGTGCACCACTAGCGCGCATTCGCGAACCTCAGAACGCCCAATCCCAGCACGACATCGAACACTACCGCGCGCATCACGGAGCACACTGTTGGGCCGCATGTTCCGCACACCACCTCCACGCCCAATCAAGCCGTGGTAGAGCGTAACGCAGTGACATCACTGGATGCCGGGATTGGCTCCAACCGCCGTCGCCCGTGTATTTCGCTCCATCGCAACCCCACTGTTTTCCGCACACTCCTCAAACGCCACCCAATTAGCGCGCACTCTGAACACTGCCGGATACTTCGCCGCAAAGTTACCCACGCCTCGTACACCCAATGTGCCACTTTGCACACACGCGTCACGCATGCATCCTGGCTTCATCTCAACTAGACAGCGGTATTCGCGGCGTGAATACCAACCGTCGATCCCACCGCTGCGCGCCGTCGTACCACCACCCGATCGCGACACGTCAAGGTATCCGTTTACTGCCGAATTGTACGCGTTATTGCGAGCTTTGCGCGCTGCTTGCGCGCGTATAACACACCACGTTACGCCACACAAGTATGCGCGCTTACAAGTGATTTATTCAATGTCGCAACACACCAGAACATCGCACACATCACACCCGGGTTGCTACACGACACACGGTCGCCAATTATGTCCACACACTACCGCCAAACGCCGTCTTACTACATCCCCACCTCGTCGAACGCTAACCCCACAAACGTATATCCTTCTAACATGCATGAAATACAAAGAGTGGAAGCCCATGTCCATGTACAGGGTTTAGGGACGCCTCACTACCAACTTGAGTCAGTGCCCAGAGAAACCGAACCACCTTCCTCCACGATTGGCGCCCTCTGCGCGTAACGGCCTGGAATCAAGTGCTCTAGCCCGCACGAGGACAGCATCAGCCCGTGCTCCCCCCATACCCACGCCTGGGCATCAGCATCGTACTTGGGCTTGAAGTCTTGGATCGCCTGCGCCACTGCCCCCTCGGCAACCTGGTGGAGGCCGTTCACCACCTCCGCGTTGCCACCAGCAGAGTTTGATAGGCGGGCCTTGCGCTTGTCCCAGTTAAGAACCGTGTCGGTAACCTGCGTGAAACAACAAACATATCGCATACACACATCACTCCCGCGCACGGGTGGGCTGAACGGGGATTGAGATGCAACTCACCACATGCTCGAGCCACACCATCTGGTACAGTTTCACGGTCACCGCTCTCGTGACCTTCTTGGGCTGGAAGGCGGTCACGGCACACGCCGTGAATGCTCCCGACGCAAAGATCATTCTAGGCCTGCTCTCGCTCCAGGTTGACAACGTCAGATCTTCTGCCCACACACATGTACAACGTAACACACCGTCAGGTGAGCTACACACAGGAACCCTGGATGGTGACACCCCGCCGCATACCGTTCACGTCGTCCAGCACGCGATACCGAAGCCGAACTTTGGTCGCCTCTCTGCGCTTCTTGCGTGCCCAAGGGCTTTTCCTGTCTCGCTCGTTGCGCCATAGGCCAATGCGCGGCAGCGCAATGTCTCGAACGCGGCCCGCCACCTCTGTCTTCCACTGGCTGAGTGCCTTGTTCAGGTCAGCGCATCGCGCCTTGTCGGCCGTCAGTGCGAGCCCCGCATAATTCATCGTCAATCGTGGTGTGACCCAGCATAATCCGAGCGTCTTGTCGTGGCTGCTTGGGTAAAAGGTCATGACATCATTGGCCCGCTCGATGAACAGGAACTCCCGCACATGGTCGCACGTTCTCTGCCATGTCCACGACACGGCACACACCAAGGTTTCCCACAGTACAAGAACGCACAAACAGCAGCGCGGCAGACATTAGACCACCCGCAATGCATATTTTTGAGTATGTGTCCCCATGTCCTAGGGCGCTCACCTTCCATGCTTTGCCGGACGGCACGAAATCAAATGCCTCCTGAAGTATGGGTGAGCTCGACACTGTCATGTGGCGCCGCCGGACCACACGGCGTGCCCTCACTGGCTCCGCCTCCGCATCTTCTTCCTCTCCCTCCTCCGATGTCGCGTCCTCCGAGCCCGATTCGTCCCGCCTGCGCTTGCGCGGCCGCGCATCTCCCTTCGCCCGTTCCTCCCTCGGACCCCTCGGCCTCTTGTTCTGCGTTTCCCTCTTGTTTATGGCCAGCACCAGCGCCTCCAGCTGTGCAATCCGACGCTCGCCCTCGTCTCTCGCCGTCTTCAGCGCCTCGAGCTCGGCGCGGCTAATCACGACGGCATCATCGGCAACCATCTCATCCCGACGAGATCCACTTGCCGGCTGCGCAGATGCGCAGGGCATTGCCTCAAAGGGGTTGTCAGCCACCGGTTTAGGCGGAGACGCCGCAGCCTTTCCTTTTGCCGTGCTAGGCTCTTCGGCCATAACGGAGGCAACAGCCTTGGATCGGACAGGCGCAGCCTCCCCTTCGCCATCGCTACCCACATCCTCATCGCCCGCACCGACGCTAGACGCGACCGCCGCATTCGGCGAGACTTGCGATGCACCATGGGCCGCACTAGCCACCCCTGAGCGCAATGTTCAAGCAACACATGCGAGTCACATCAGAGAACATGGAAACTCCGTAATCGTGAACATGCGCCGAAAGCAGGGCGGCAAAAGCAACGTGACGCAACTGAATCCCCACGCGTTGTACCTTCTACTGGGACACACTTTTGCTTTTCAACCCTAGGCCGCTTGTACTGCCCCGCGTTGCCCCGCACACATTTGACTTCACGTGTTCGTTTACCGGTCAACTGATACTCCTTTCGCAGATACTCAGGCGGTCGTTTGGGCCTACGCGACCGGCCTGCGGGCAATTCCTCCGACGTCCCCAAAGAAGTCTCCATTCCCGAAAGTCAAACCTAAACAACTTCTGCTACCGCACACCATGTAGTGAAAGTATGCGCATTCCGGCTGCAAGCCCTCTCAGTTGCAGGTATGCGCACAGGATGTAACGTCTCAATCGCCAAAGGGCGTGCGCAGGCCGCAATCTCGTCAGCCAATCGTAGACGGTATACTGTTGCATCACCGATCTCAAGACACGCGTGAGCCACTCATTGTATCCCTCGCGATCCTACCCATCCACATCACCCACTCAACTGCCTTTGCAAATATGTCTGTCACACAAGCGCGGAGCTGTTTGCATTCGTTACACAATCTACATGAACCCAACGCCCAAATAGACTATATCATGCATAGCTACAAAGTAGGTATCACCTAATCTACTATATCATGAATTGACATAAATTAGGTATCACCTACTCCGGCTACAACAGGCAAACAACTTCACTCCACAATCGCTCCATCTTCACCGCCTCTGGGTCTTCGTCGAACAACGCCCCCTCAAATGCATCTCCCAGAGCCACCCCCGTCCTAATACCCTCGTCCGCCACACCACCCATCGCTGCAGCAGCGTCCTCATTGAGTTCATGAGGTGTGCCCCGCCCGGCCGTTCCCTCTGCGTCGCCCAACCCTTCCCCATCCAGCTCAATCACCTCATCTCCTTCCTCCACGGAACATCCGGCTGCATCCCCCGCGTCATCGTCTTGCGAGTCGGAGTGCTCATCGCCGTCCCCTGCTATCTCCTCCTTCGTGCAGTCCACTAGTGCCGTCTCCCACTCCTGCCATCGGAACCACTGCCGGCTCCTAACCAGCCGCTTGACAGCTGCCAATGTGTACCCCTCCAGCATACCCTTCTCCTCATCCGTCAGCTCCACTGTGCCTGACACGCGCTTACCATCTTTGACCACGTGCACCGCTGCTGCGTACGCCGTGGTAGCCTCCAGCTCCTTATTGTACGCACCCAGCCTCATCTGCGTCCGCTTCTTATTCTTCTCCCGGAACAGAATCTTGGCGCTCCACCTACCGCGCTTCTCCCTGCGCACACCCTTGTACTGTGAACTACGATCCTGTCCCTTACCCTTGCTCTTGCAAGCAGTAGCGCCGCCATAGCACCTGACGCATGCGGGTCTTCTCGTTTCCTCTTTGCCGGCATAGCCAGCACCACGGGCCTTGCTCCACATGCATGAGCCACCGCCGGCTCTGCCTGGCGCGTGACGTGCATACTTCCCTCTGTGCCGTTTATCGACCACCTCAGAGCGGCAGGCACGGGTAGCGCGCAGGGGCTGGGATGAACCACCCCTAGCTCGATTGTGCCACTGCGTGCACTGTCCAGTGCTACGCTCTCAGCAGATCCTCCTTTGGAACCGGGGCTGTCGGTAGTGCAAGGCCGCGCTGCTGCACGGGGGTTGGGGGTGGAGGGTGCAGTGGACCGGCTGCCCCCAGGTGTCGCCGCGCCCCCTTCAGAACCTTGCACCTGCAAGACGTGTGCAGCTCCTGCAAGGAGCTGATCGACACTGTAACCCATCGCCGCTCCGACGGCGGTGACTGCTGCTTTCCAGATCGCAAGATCCCTCTTCATGCCGTAGTGCTCCACCTGCATCCGTGTCAGCTTTGTGTTGTGATCCTCCGCTCCAGAATCCACAACGGCTCCATGCTTAGTGACCCTAGCCGCGGGTTGATTAGGTACAACCACACCCATCTTCACCATCGTCGGTATAAGGTTAGAAGCCGCATGCATGCATAGGTCGGCCCGCATGCCCCGCCGGAACTCCGTCGCAGTGATGCCCTCCAGGTATAGGTACGAGCGCAAATTCTTGAAATCAGTATCCACAAGGACTTTCATAAAGTGGCATACAAAAATGCCACAGTCGTGTTTGTTGTCCTGCTGCTGCACCTTATGTTTCTGCACGCACGTTAGAGGCCACAACATGCCGTTATCACACGCTAACATAGTGTGTCAACACATCTCAGTTTGGGGAGCAGGACCCACCTGTCAGAATGTTATAATTGTCTAACCTGCAGTGAGGTACTCTATAGCGAGTACGACCCAATTAGGGTTTCCTATATGTATGCCAACTGCTGCTAGTGCATCCCTCTCTTCTTCATTCCTCATTCTTCACATGCTATTAGAGCATCTACGCTCCTGGCCTGTGGGCCCACCTAACTGCTTCCGCTGCTACTCTGTGTACTACACGCCCCGTGGCGTGCCCCTCGCGAGACCCTTAGTGGCCCCGTCGCCACCCCTCGCGGCCCCGTCGTCACCCTTCTCGGCCCCTCGCGGCCCCTTCGCGGCCTCGTTCCCGCCCCTTTCAGGCCCCTCGCGGCCCCTTCGCGGCCCGTCGCCGCCCTTCCAGGCCCCTCGCGGCCCCTTCGCGGCCTCGTCGCCGCCCCTATCGGCCCCGTCGCCGCCGCCAGCGGCCCCGTCGCCGACCTCTCAGGCCCCTCTCGGCCCCTTCGCGGCCCCGTCGCCGCCCCTATCGGCCCCGTTGCCGCCGCCAGCGGCCCCGTCGCCGACCCTAGTGGCCCCGTCGCCGCCCCTATCGGCCCCGTCGCCGCCGCCAGCGGCCCCGTCGCCGCCCCTAACGGCCCCGTCGCCACCCCTATCGGCCTCGTTGCCGCCGCCAGCGGCCTCGTCGCCGACCCTAGCGGCCCCGTCGCCGCCAGCGGCCCCGTCGCCGGCCTTAGCGGCCCCGTCGTCGCCCCTATCGGCCCCGTCGCCGCCTCCAGCGGCCCCGTCGCCGCCACTTGCGGCCCCGTCGCCGCCCCTTTCGGCCCTTCCTCGACCCTGCCCTGGCCCCGCCCCGGCCATGCTTCGTCGCCAGTCGTGGCGCACCGGGGGCACGTGCACCCCCCCCCCCCCCCCCCCCCCCCCCCCCCCCCTTTTCCCGTCACCGGTCGAGGCGACCTGAGGGGCCCGCGTGCGGGAGGGGCGACCTGGGGGAGGGGGGCGAGCGCCGCCCCTTCTGCCGCCTGTTTTGGCGCCCTGGGAGGCCGCGCGTCGGCCCTCCCCCCTCCCCCCCCCCCCCCCCCCGTAACCTCCCTACCCGCCATCCCGCCCTGCCCTGTTTTAGGGTTTGGGGGTGGCGAGTAGGGGGTGGCGGGTGTGTGGTCTCCCCTGCTCCTCCTCCTCCTCTGTCTCCCACTGCTGCACCTGCCGCTGAGGGGGGTGGGTGTGTGGGAGTCGATGGAGTGGTGCTAGGGGGTGGGGTGTGAGTGAACCTAGGGGTGCAGTAGGGGGTGTGTGAAATGGGGGTGGGATAATTTGGGGAGGTTGAAGGGGGTGGCCGCCGTGAAGCCCGCAACTCCAGTCGCCCGTGAGACCGTTGCGCCAGTCGCCCGTGAGCCCGTTGCGCCAGTCGCCCGTGAGCCCGCTGCTCCAGTCGCCCGTGAGTCCGTTGCTCCTGCCGCTCAGAGTTAGCCGCGGAGCCAGTTACTCCAGTAGCCCGTGTGCCAGTTTCTCCAGTTGCCAGTGTGCTAGTTGCTCAAGTTGCTCGTGTGCCAGTTGCTCCAGTTACGCCGTGTGCCAGTAGCTTCAGCTGCTGCCCACTACCTCCTCTCCTCTCATAGTCCCTCCTCCTCCACACTTGCCCTCTGCGATAGCCTCTAGCTTTGCTTACATTTGTGAACTTTAAACTGTTGCTTCTTGTACTTGTGCTCAGAATGTGTGGTGACATTGTGATCCACCCTGAGCTTGTTCTACCTTGCTCATTGTGCTGATTACACCCCACTTTGGCTATGGGGGTGTGTCAGAATGTTATAATTGTCTAGCCTGCAGTGGGGTACTCTATAGCGAGTACAACCCAATTAGGGTTTCCTATATGTATGCCAACTGCTGCTAGTGCATCCCTCTCTTCTTCATTCCTCATTCTTCACACCACCTTCATGGGAAGCGGCTTCGCATCTCTCAATGTGTTCACAAGAGTCGTTGCGTCACACTGAGGGTGTAGGGCCTTGGCGGTTAGTTCCAATAATCTGGAACGCAAGAAATCCGGATGAGTCAGACATTCTCGTAGTGTATTGTCGAATTCACTAACATGGCCACAAAAACATGCAGCAGCTTACCGTTGGACGCCATCAAACACCGTAGGGTCGTCACGGTGCGTGCCATAACTGTCGAGAAGAATCAGTTCCAGAGGTCCAGTCACTTCCTCAGACGTTCCTCCCAGCAGTCGCTTAGGGCACGGAACTATCATAAGCGAGTAGTGTGAGCTGCAACATATCGCATAAAACAGGCACGCGCGTCATATTATTGCAGCGGCTCGTGCCACCCTGAATGAAAACCAAAGCGTTCAATCAACAGCACGCACCTCTTGAAGACGGGAATGGCCAAGAAGTCAACGTCAAAAACTCTGGACCCGTTGCCCATAGAGTATGGCTTGCCGAAAGTGTTCACGTAGTCGAAAGCCTTGCTGTCGACCGCAGCCCAAGAAGTGCCGTTGGGCGTAGTGGGTTGACGGATGCTCAGCAGTCTGCGCGCAGTCAGGCGATTGTCCAGTCAGGGAACGGGGGCAATCATGGACACAAGGCAGGCCATGACACATCGCCTTAAAAAAACGGACGAAATCGCTCACACGTTGTGGAAGTCCACGATCGCGTCGGTGACACACTTCCCGTCAGCGATGGTTATGATGTCTGACGCCTCCACGACACAACCAACGCCATCCGCGTTGAACAGCGTCATTTGCTCCATCTGTTGTGGTTGCTTGGCAGTCCGTAAGCGATAGACCAGATCGTGCGGCTCGGGAAGTTCCGTCTCCGTCTCCAGATTCGTCTAGTACTGCTGGGCTAGGAGTTTGCTGCCGGCCGAGTCGATGCCTTCTTTAAGAGCTGTGTTGCTGCTGGTTGATTGCCTCCTTCCGCTACGGAGGGAGCGCGCAATAGCACTGACATCCGTCACGTCTCCGTCGCCCCCTGTGTCGCCCTCCTTAGCCCACCGCGCGTGGACCTGCCCTTGTAAGCACACTGCTTGTCGCGGGCGCGCCTACGAGGAGACATGTCTACGATCGTGGGTCAAGCTCAAGGAAAACTGCGCAAAGGTATTGAGGGCGTATGCGGGAGTGTCTGCCTTATGAAAAGAAGGTTGATTCAACCTCACACTTTCGAGGAGACGTTTTGGCAGGACATCGAGGGTGAGAGGGGGCGTTGATGACGATGTGTGGATCTGAAGTACTTGTGGCGCGAACTCGTAAGTGCATGCCATTTGTCGCGTCACCGTGACATGCACATCATGTCATGGCATGCACTTCGCGTATTCGTTATGAACGAGGACTATGTACGCACATTGCATTTTGTGCGTGTTCTAGGCTTACGTGATTCCTAGCGAGAGTCATTGACCCGCATGGGATCCGATAACCACAGCCGACCTAGCCGAGCGGTGTACTCGATGATTTCAACAAATGACTCGCATATATTAGACAGCATGACCTGTATACAAACAGGTCAAGCGTTTATAACGTGCACACAGTGAGTGCGGATTTCTTTCGCGCAAAGGTATACTAACTCCAATGACCCAAAGTTAGGGTTTGCGGTGGTATCATGGGTGGCAACATGTGCGGGGGGTGCAGAAAAACGTTTCGTGACGACAACAGGCTGCAGTCGCACTTGGCTAGAAGCGCGGCATGCAGGGAGGCGATTCTCGGTCGTGGTAGAGTCCTCCTCGCAGAGGCATATCTGGAGGCCCGTCAGGCGTTTTTCCGCATCCCTGCCCGTACACCCGCCGCCACTGCCGCCAGCGCTGGCACCCACGAGAGGACGGCGGAGAAGAGACCAGCAGCTCCTACAGCCGCCGAGGTAGAAGCTAGTGATGATGACGACCATTCTACCTGTAGTGAGCAGAGTTCGGACGGGGAGATCTTTGACACTCTCACCGCAATATATCTGTTCATTAGGGACGCGGACCTCTCGCGGCGCGAGGTCAACCGATTGCTGCATATCTTCAGAAATCCGCGATTCAACCTGCGTGCATTGCGTCGCTGGCGCAATTTGTTGAAATACATTTCTTATATAAATTGCTTGTAGCAATAGTTAGTGTAGTGTTACATTGTTGGTGGTGCACCTTGCTAACTTTGTTTGCTATATGTACCTTTGAGCCTATAGTGAACACCACCACTTCTCCTTCACAACTCTCTCGACTTCCTCTTGGCCTAGGCTACTAAGCCTAGGCCCTACTTAAAACTCAACTACCACTTATGCTCCTATCTTAACATGGCATTAGAGCTTGTTACGTCCTGGACTGTGGGCCCGCCTCACGCTTCCGCTACTTTTCTTCCGGTCGCGCGCCTCGGGCGCATGGCGATTTTTGTCCCGCGCACGGCCTGCTCTAACGCCGCCTGTGCGTCTGCCCCACGTCTGCGCGTGGGCCTGTTCTGCCTGCCCGTACCCTCGCGGCCCCTTTGCGGCCCCGTCGCCGCCCCTTCTCGGCCCCTCGAGGCCCCTTCTCGGCCACGTCGCCGCCACTAGCGGCCCCGTTGCCGCCCCTAGCGGCCCCGTCGCCGCCCTTCGCGGCCCCGTTGTCGCCCCTAGCGGCCCCGTCGCCCCCCTTCTCGGCCCCGTCGTCGCCCTTCTCGGCCCCGTCCCCACCCTTTGTGGCCCAGTCACCTGCTCGTCGCGGCGCATCCCCCCCTGGCCGCCGCCTCTGCCTCCCCTACGCTCGTGCTTGCTTTGCAGCAGCGCGCGGGCCTGCTTTGCACCGCCGACGCCGCCCCTGCAGCAGCAGCCTCTGGAGCAGCTAGCCCTGCAGCAGCAGCCCCTGGCCCCTGGAGCAGCCGCACCTGCAGCCGCCCCTGGCCCCTGGAGCAGCCGCCCCTGCAGCAGCCGCCCCTGGCCACTGGAGCAGCCGCCCCTAGCCCCTGAAGAAGCCGCCCCTGGAGCAGCTGCCTCTGCAGCAGCCGCCCCTGGCCTCTGGAGCAGCCGCCACTGCAGGACCCGCCCCTGGCCTCTTGAGCAGCCGCCCGTGGAGCAGCCGCCCCTGGAGCAGCCGCCACTGCAGCAGCCGCTCCTAGACCCGGTGCAGCCTTGGGGGGGTGGGTATGGGGGTGGCGGGTGTGGGGGTGATGAGTGTGGGAGGTATGGGGGTGGCGGGTGTGGGGGTGATGAGTGTGGGACAGGTGGGGGAGGTTGAGTGGAGGTGGCCGCCGTGAAGCCAGCAGCTCCAGTCGCCCGTGAGACCATTGCGCCAGTCGCCCGTGAGCCCGTCGCTCCAGTCGCCCGTGAGCCCGTTGCTCCAGTCGCCCGTGGGTCAGTTGCTCCTGCCGCTCGTCTAGCCGCGGAGCCAGTTACTCCATTTGCCCATGTGCCAGTTGCTCCAGTTGCCAGTGTGCCTGTTGCTCCAGTTGCCCGTGTGCCAGTTGCTCCAGTTGCGTCGTGTGTCTGCAGCTTTCGCTGACGCCTCCCCTCTCCTCTCCTGTCACAGTCCCTCCTCCTCCTCACTTCCCATCTCCTTCTCCTGCACTTGGTGTACCCCTTCAGGGGTTGTCTTTGCATTGGCTTCCTACTGCAAGCAGTTTAGGGGGTGTGTTGAAATACATTTCTTATATAAACTGCTTGTAGCAATAGTTAGTGTAGTGTTACATCGTTGGTGGTGCACCTTGCTAGCTTTGTTTGCTATATGTACCCTTGAGCCTATAGTGAACACCACCACTTCTCCTTCACAACTCTCTCGACTTCCTCTTGGCCTAGGCTACTAAGCCTAGGCCCTACTTAAAACTCAACTACCACTTATGCTCCTATCTTAACACAATTGGCTTGACGTGAGGCGATGGGGGGAAGCCAGGGCGCCGCCAGACATGGTACCGTGGCTGTGCGAGGAGATAGTGGTCAGAGGGCCTCGCGGTCAAACACAGAAGCTCCCCCTGCATTATCGGAACACGGAGGAGGTACGTTCAATATGTTATGAGCGTAATATGCGTCCTGAGGGGGTGCTGCATACTGATGTTGATGGTACACGCACTCACAGCAAGCTTTGACTCCTACGCAGCTCGTGAAGAAGCTCGTGCGCATCTTTGGCGGCGTCAAGGGGTTCGTTAAAAAGCCACGGATTGTTGTTGACCCCAACACAAACGAGTGGATTTACTCCGGCCCTGAGACGGAAAAATGGCTGGAAGAGGCTCAGGTACGCGATGATTCTCCAGAGGACATGCCCCGCTGCGCTGACGTTTTGGCAGACGTACTCAAGAGCACGAGTTTGTATGTGGCAGAAGGAGGTGAACGACCCATCAGCCTGGGTGATTGGCGTCATTGTCTACAGCGACGGCACCAACGCAACACGCAATGGGCGCAGGCAGGCGTGGCCTGTCCTCATAACGCTGTTCAACATACCTGAGGAGTTGCGCAAGACGGAACCTAGCCATGTTCTGGCTGCTGTGCTGCCGTTCCCCCCCGAGTGGGCAACTTCTACCGAGAAAGCAAGAGTGTTTCAGGAGGCAATTCGGATCATTCTCGGGCCCCTCATGCGAGAGTCTTCAAGGTATGTAGATCGTCCGGATTTTGCTGCATGTGCTGCGCATCGTAGTTCCGCCGCCAGCCTTTTGGTCAAACAATGTCCTGTCCACCTGTTTCCTTCTTTTACATCCCTCTCGGCCCAGCGCTCCATTAAGGGTGTTCTATGTCACCGATCCACAGGGGGAGCCTGTGAAGGCCGTCCCATGCTTCTTTGGTTACCCTGGCGACTTCATCGAACAGTGCCGCGTCACCGCGACGATGCAAACAGGCACCAAGAGGCCCTGTTGCACATGCTACGTACCGGAAGACCTCCTTGGAGACTTGGAGCATAAGGACTCGCCGAGGACCGTAGACTCCGAGATGCATGTGTTGCGCAACATGCTTGCGTGTAAGACTGTGAAAGATGCTGAAGCGATTCAGTCCGAGTGGTCAACCCATCCAGTGGAGGTATGTGTGTGCAGTACGCATTGATGGTGGCGATCTAATGATAAGCCCGCCATCGTACCGTATGACGTGAACCCCTCTCATCCTACTTGCACCACCCTACAGTGTGTGTTATCTGTCAGAACATTATAGCTTATACATCTGTGTAGGCTGTAGTGGGGTAGCTCATAAGGGGTACAACCCAATTAGGGTTAGTACTTGTACCAAACTGTTTCATAGTTCAATCATTCGACCTTTCAGCGGCCTCGTCGCCGCCTACCCCTTCCGCGGCCCTGTCGCCGCCCTTTCAGCGACCCCGTCGCCGCCTACCCCTTCCGCGGCCCTGTCGCCGCCCTTTCAGCGGCCCTGTCGCCGCTCTTCCGCGGCCCCGTCGCCGCCCTTTCAACGGCCCCGTCGTCGCCCTTCAGCGGCCCCGTCGCCGCCTTTCAGCGGCCCCGTCGCCGCCCTTCCGCGGCCCTGTCGCCGCCCTTTCAGCGGCCCCGTCGCCGCCCCTACCTGCGGCCCCGTCGCCACCCTTCAGCGGCCCCGTCACCGCCCTTCCGCGGCCCCGTTGCCGCCCTTTCGGCGGCCCCGACGCTGCCCTTCAGCGGTCCCGTCGCCGCCTTTCAGCGGCCCCGTCGCCGCCCTTCCGCGGCCCTGTCGCCGCCCTTTCAGCAGCCCCGTCGCCGCCCCTACCTGCGGCCCCGTCGCCGCCCTTCAGCGGCCCCGTCGCCGCCCTTCCGCGGCCCCGTCGCCGCCCTTTCAGTGGCCTCGTCGCCGCCCTTCAACGGCCCCGCCGAGCCGCCCTTGCTGCCGAGCTGCCGAGCCGCTACACCGACGAGCCACCAAGCCGCTGAGCCGCCGAGCCGCCTGTGCTGCCGAGCTGCCGAGCCGCCTTTGCCGCCGAGCCGCCTTTGCCGCCGAGCCGCCGAGCCGCACTGCAGCCGAGGCGCCGCCGCCTGTCGGCCTGCCCTAATCCGCCTCACTTACCTGGTAAGAGCAGCGCCTCTGCCACTGCAGTGCCCTGCCCCACTGTACTCACTGCCTGTCTACTGCTGTCATGGCCACCCCTAGTGTTCTCACCTTTGACACTGAGGGTCGGGCAGTTGACATTGAGGTTTGGGTAGATGATCTGCAGCTTTTCCTACAGTGCGATAGGGAAGATGGTCTCTCCCTGTTTGACCTCACTTCTGGTGCCTCTCCTGCCCCTGCTGCTGATGCTAACGCCACTGTTCGCTCACAATGGGCCACGCGCGATGCTGCTGCTCGCCTTGCTGTGCGCCGCCACTTACCGACCACTGAGTGTGCACACTTTAGCCAGTACAAGAGTGCTCAGACCTTGTACGACGTTGTAGTTGCACGCTACTCTTCCCCTGCCACTGCTGCACTAAGCCGCCTCATGCTACCGTACCTCTTCCCTGACCTTGCTGCCTTTCCCACAGTCGCTGACCTCATTACGCACCTCCGCACTAGTGACACTCGCTACCGCGCTGCGCTTCCTGCTGAAATCTGCGCCAAGAACCCCCCCCCCCATGTACATCACCCTCTACTACATAGTCACCCGGCTCCCTGACTCTCTCCGCGTAGTCAGGGACCACTTCCTCTCAGTTTGCCCCACCACTCTCACCGTTGACCTCCTCGAGAAGGCCCTCCTAGCAGCAGAGAAGAGTATAGTCGCTGTAGGAGCCTCTCGTGGTGACCCTCGCACCCCCGTCTTTGAGGGGTGTTCTCCCTCCCCCCTCTTGCCCTCTGTTGCCTCTGCTGCTGCGGCCGACCTCGTTGGTTTCGAGTCAGTCGGCGCTGCGTCTGCCCCGAGCGGGAGACGCCGCACCGGCAAGGGCAAGGGGGGCAAGGGCGCTGGAGGGGCTGGCGGGGGCGATGGAGGTGGTGGTGGAGGCAGTGGAGGGAGTGGGGGTGGTGGTGGGAGTGGTGCCGGGGGTGGCGGCGGCGGCGGCAGCAGTGGAGGCGGCGGAGGCGGCGGTGGTGGCGGAGGGAGCGGTGGCTGCGGAGGTGGTGAAGGAGGCGGAGGTGGAGGAGGCGGCAGAGGCGGCGGCGGCGGCGGTGGTGGAGCGGTTCGCGACTCTGCGCAGAGGAGTGGCTCAGGTGGTGGTCCGCGCCGCAGAGTGGTGTGACCCTGTCCCCTCAGCAGCTTCGTGAGTGGTACACTGCGCGTAAGCGCGGTGGGGGTTTTGGTCCCTACACTTACATCCTCCGTACCGGCGACCGAGCTGGTGAGCAGTGCGGGGGCCCGCACTCCACCCAGCGCTGCTTCGATCGTCTGACGGACGCGTGGCGTCGCCAGTTCCCTGAGGCGTCAGAGATCCCTCGCTAGGGAGATTTGTCTAGGGCGGGGGTTGCCGTGTTTGATCTTGACTATGATGCTATCCTTGCCGCCATGTATTATGTGACTACTAGTGTTGAGGGTGACTGTTACCTGTGTTCACTGCCTGACCCGGGCATTGAGGCCACTGCTCTAGGTGCTGGTGGGGCTGCTGCTCTAGGTGCTAGTGCGTCTGCTGCCCCAGGTGCCAGTGCGTTTGCTGCCCCAGGTGCTGGCGAGTCTGCTCTCTTAGGTACTACGTCGACTCAGGCCTTCCACACCTTCACCCTTGACTCGGGTGTGTCCCGCTCCTTCTTTTGAGACCGCACCACTCTTACGCCGCTCAGTCGGCCGGTTGCAGTCTCCTTGGCAGACCCCTCTGAGGGTCCTGTCCTTGCTAGCTTCTCCACTGTCTTACCGTGCCCGGCAGCCCCCTCTGGCACCCTGTCAGGTCTCTACCTCCCCTCGTTCTCTACGAACTTGGTGAGTGGAGCGGACCTACAGGATAGGGGGGTTGACCAGTTCACTCCTGCGAGTCAGCGAGTGACCCACTGCACGTGTGCTCGTACAGGCCGACACTTGGCCACGTTCACCCGTCGGCCAGGGTCGAGCCTGTACACCCTTACTACTGAGTCTCCTCCGGCTGCTAAGTCTGGCCAGGTAGCTGCGTCGAGTCAGGTGTTTGCTGCAGCGTCCAGGTCTGGTCCTGAGTCTGCTCCCTGCTCGTGTCGTCTCCTGTCCCACCAGACTATCCTCTGGCACCACCGCCTTGGTCACCCCTCCCTGCCTTAACTCCGAGGCATGGCCTCCCGTGTCCTTGTCTCTGGTCTCCCTCGGTCTCTCCCTCCCCTACCTCCGGGGCCTGGCCCTACCTTTGTCCCCTGTGTCGAGGGGCGCCAGCGGGCTGCCCCTCACTCCTCCGAGTTTCCTCCGACAGAGGCTCTGCTACATACCCTCCACATGGACGTGTGGGGCCCCACCCGCGTCCGTGGACAGGGGCACGAGCGGTACTTCCTATTGATGGTTGACGACTACTCGCGTTACACCACAGTCTTCCCCTTGCGCAGCAAGGGTGATGTCACTGAGGTGTTGATCGACTGGATCTGCGCAGCTCGTCTCCAGCTCAGAGAGAGTTTCGGCTCGGACTATCCTGTTCTGCGTCTGCACTCGGACAGAGGCGGGGAGTTTTCCTCTGCCCTGTCAGAATGTTATAATTATCTAGCCTGTAGTGGGGTGCTCCATAGCGAATACAACCCTGTTAGGGTTTGCTATATGTATCCCAACTGCTGCTAGTGAAACCCCCTCCTTTCTTCATTCTTACTTTCTACTGCTAGTTTTGACATGCTATCAGAGAAGGTCGACCCTCCTGGGTCGATCCTGTGGGTGGGCCCACCACCTAAAGTTTCGCTGCTCTACTGCTGTCGCGCGCCCCGAGCGCGCTACCCTTTCTTCCTGCCGCGCGTGTGATGCGCGCGGCGGTTTTCCTGTGTGGCGCGCGCCCGGGGGGCGCGCGGCCCCTTCTTCTTCCTGGCGCCCCCTTGCAAGCCACGCGCTGCCCCCGCCCGTCCGTCGCGGCACCCTGGGGAGCCGCGCGTTGCCCCCGCCCGTCCGTCGCGGCGCCCTGGGGAGTTGCGCGCGGCCCCCGCCCGTCCGTCGCGGCACCCTGGGGAGCCGCGCGCTGCTCCCGCCCGTCCGTCGCGGCGCCCTAAAGAGTCGCGCGCGACCCCTTACTGCCCCGTCGCGCCGCCCTGGGGAGCCACGCGCGGCCCCCTGCTGCCCCGTGGTGGCGCCCTGGGGGCCGCGCGCCGTCCCCCCCGCTTTTCCCCCGCGCTCCTGCCCCTTGCAACCCATTTTAGGGTTTTGGGCTGAGGAGTGTGGGGGTGGCGGTTGTGGGGGTGCCTGTTGTGTGCGCCGTCCCCTACTCCTCCTCCTCCTCCGTCTCCCGCTGCTGCAGCTGCCGCTCAGGGGGGTGTGTGTGTGGGGAGCCGAAGGAGTGGTGCTAGGGGGGTGAAGGGGGAGTGGAGCTAGGGGTTAAGCAGGGGGTGTGTGTCAAGGGGGGTGGGACTGTTTGGGGAGGCTGAGAGGAGGCTGCCGTCTTGTCGTCCGCAGCACCTGTAGTCCGGGGCGCTGTCCTGATAGCCCAGAGAGCCTGCTGCGCCTGTCGCCCGTGGGTCCGTTGCTCCTGTAGCTCCTCGTAGTCCGTGAGCCAGTTACTCCAGTAGTCTGGGGCGCTGTCCCGGTAGCCACTGTGCCAGTCGCTCCTGTTGCCCGTGTGTCTGCAGCTTCAGCTGTCGTCTCCCATCTTCTCTCCTCTCACATTCCCTCCTCCTCCTAACTTGCCCACTGTGACTACCACTAGCTTTGCTCATAATTGTGAACTACTGCTATTCTTGCTCATTGTGCTGATTACACCCCACTTTGGCTATGGGGGTGTGTCAGAATGTTATAATTATCTAGCCTGTAGTGGGGTGCTCCATGGCGAGTACAACCTTGTTAGGGTTTGCTATATGTATACCAACTGCTCCTAGTGAAACCCCCTCCTTTCTTCATTCTTACTTTCTACTGCTAGTTTTGACATGCCCGTCTGGGAGCCTTCTGTCGTGCACAGGGCATCCGCCAGACCTTCACGCTTCCGGCCTCTCCACAGCAAAATGGGATTGCTGAGCGCCGCATTGGCATGGTCATGGACGTCGCTCTTACGTCCATGATGCATGCGGCTGCCCCCCATTTTCTGTGGCCATTTGAGTTTCAGTACGCCGCGCATCAGCTCAACCTTCAGCCCCGGGTCTCCTTGTCAGAGACCTCCCCCGCCTTGAGGTGGACCGGGAAGGTTGGCGATGCGTCTGCGTTTCGGGTCTGGGGATCTCAGGCGTTTGTCCGCAACTTGTCTGCGGACAAGCTGTCCCCCCGTGCTGTTCCCTGCGTCTTCCTTGGCTTCCCCCCTTACGCGCCTGGGTGGCAGTTTTACCACCCCACCTCGCGCCGTGTTCTGTCCTCCCAGGACGTCACCTTTGACGAGTCGGTGCCTTACTACCGTCTCTTCCACTACCGCACTGCGCCCCTCCCCCCGCCGCCGCTCTTCCTTGCACTAGGTCCTCCCCCGGTAGACCCCCTCCCCCCTCAGGGTCCTGCCCTGTCAGGTGTGTCCCAGGTAGACGCAGTCGAGCCTGTCGAGGTAGCTGTTGACTCTGATGCTGCTAGAGGTGCTGAGCCTGCGGGTGCCGGGTCTAGGGGTGCTGAGACTAGGGGTGCTGACCCTGGGGGTGCGGAGTTTGGGGGTACTGAGATTGGGGGTGCTGAGTCAGGGAGTGCTGAGCCTGGGGGTGCTGGGTGTGGGGGTGCGGAGCCTGGGGGTGCGGAGCCTGCAGGTGCGGAGCCTGGGGGTGCCGAGCCTGGAGGCGCTGGGTCTGCTCGTGTGGCCGCCGGCGGTGCTTCGTCGAGGCGGAAGCCACTCTCTCCACAGGAGCTGAGCGAGTGGTTTGCCCGCCGCTGGAGACGTGCTGCTGAGACAGGGGGTGCTGCTGGGGCTACTGGAGTTGGTCCTGTTGGAGCTACTGGCGGTACTAGTGCTACTAGAGCTGGAACTGCTGGGGGTGTTAGCGCTGGTGTTTCTACTGGCGCTGGTGCGTCTGGGGGTGCTACTGAGGCTGCTGGAGCTAACGGTCCTACTGGAGTTGGTGCTGCTGGAGCTGGAGCTACTAGGGGTGTTGGCGCTGGCGGTGCTGCTGGCGCTGGTGCTTCTGAGGGTGCTGGAGTTGGCGCTGTTGGAGCTGGAGGTGCTGTTGGCGCTGGTACTGCCGCTGGGGGTACTGGTGCCGTCCTTGCTGGCTCTGGAGGCGCTGAGCGGCCGAGGCCGTACTTCATTCCGCTCCTGGAGTAGGTTCCTTGTCTCCCGCCCTCTCCTGGTCCTGCTCCTTCCTTAGAGTGTCCACAGCCTGTCCAGTCGCAGTCACAGTTACAGCCCGCCTCCCCTCTACCTGCTCCTTCTCCCTACACTGGTCCTACTAGAGGTCTTGCTGAGCGTCGTGAGCCTGTGTCTCGTCCTGCGTCGCCTGTTCGCACTGCTCGCACTAGTCGTCGTGTTCCGCGTCCGCGTCCTCCTGCGGTTCCGGGCACACACCAGATGGCACTGCGTCCTTCCACTGCTCCCCTTCGTGTCTTGTTGCCGTCTCCTCCAGAGTCCTCTCTTCCTGTCCTTGCTGACCCGGAGTCTGACTCTCTTCGTGCTGCCAGTCCTACTGTCACGCGTCTCCTGGCCACTGTTCTCACTGACCCTTCCTTTGAGTCCACTGCTGAGTCTTCCTTAGTGGCTGAGCTTGTCGACTTCGCTGCTTGCTGTCCTCTAGACCACGCCACTAGTCTTGTTGCTGAGTCCGAGTCTGTCTGTCCTCCGTTCGTCGGGGGTGGGTGTGCTCTTAGCACGGACGTCCTTGAGGACAGGCAGGAGGAGTTCCAGTGTTTTGCTGCTGCTTTGCCTCATCTCGTGTCTACGCTGATTGCCCCTGAGGGAGACCCGGATGCACCAGACATCCCGACCCCTCGATCATACGCTGAGGCGATCAAGAGTCCCTACTCTTCTCAGTGGCAGTCAGCCATGGACGCAGAGATGGCTTCGTGGAAGTCCACAGACACCTACGTCGACAAGGTTCCCCCACCTAGGGCGAACATCGTCAGTGGCATGTGGATTTTCAGGGTGAAGCGGCCGCCGGGCTCTCCGCCTGTCTTCAAGGCACGTTACGTGGCTCGAGGCTTCAGTCAGCGGCACGGAGTTGACTACTTTCAGACCTTCTCTCCTACCCCGAAGATGACCAC